GTCTCGCCACGTAAAATAAGGCATTAATTCAATTCAAAAAATTCCACTTGTATTGAAACTAAAATTCCTTGATGCATTATTTATGATAGAATAAGAAAAAGTTATTTCATCACATATTGATTTATGAGCTTGTTGAATCAAACAAAATTGAGGAAGAGTATGGGCATGTGATACTTCTGAGTAAAGTTTGTGTCCAGTAGTTACGTCCTTTCACATGAAAAGCTTTATACATCAAACGATCCACTCTCGGAATTTATCTCGGTAGTTCTCTAGGAATCCACTACACGCTTTCCGTGTACCCGTAACCGTTTACCGGAAGACAGACCGACCGCTTCTCGCTACTTCTTATGAACCTGACATCAGTAAGTCCCTTGTACTTAATGTTCACCTTCGGAGCGCCAGCTTTAGTTCTCCTTTCTTTCTCCTTCTCCCTTTCTCTCGGTCCCTTTCTCTCGGTCCCTTTCTCTCTTGGAGTGTCCTCTAGCCAAAGTGAGGTGTAATCGAAACCATTAGCTGTATATGCTATTGACAAAGAAACTTTCTTAACATCCTTCACCGACGGTAATGCAGCTACAAAAAACTAGAAAAATAACCGAAAATGGAAATTGAACAACAAACTTCAATGAAACTAATTATAATATAACGTAATACTTTGTGATAAAATTTACATACACTACCTTTGTTAATATTGAAATAATCGAACGATATTATTTATAATTATTTTCTATTCTTGTCCAGTGCTTACTTGCACTGCTGCCTTTTTGATAAGATTTTGTTACTATACTCTCACTAGATTACAAAGGCAATTTGTACGAAGTAATGCGTAATCTGACAGTCTACGTTGGATTAAAATAACTAAAATGTGAAGTTTTTCAATGAAACACTAAATTTAGTGAATTTAACATGTATGATAGTGATTTAAATAATACATTTTAAAGGTTTCTGTAGATAGATCTTAATAACTTGACTCTCACAGCACACGCTTGGTGCTGTCCACACATGGCTTTTGAGAAGCGTCCGCAGAAGTACCTCATGGTACAAACTCCCTCATGATCGTCATCGTTCCATTATGATTGCTAAATGTTCAGAACAAAACTTAAATGCTACATGACAATGTATTCTTTATGCATTTTCGTATTATTCAAAATATTAGGGTATATACCGCTAAAAGACCTGACGTAACTATAAAGGCGTGGTCTACTAGACGACGCATGTTGGTGTACACCGGAAATAGACACGATCCCAAGGTTACGTGTTTTTTACTGGCTAGTCACATAATGAAGGTACGTTGAGTTTCAAAAACGGGGTGTGAGAGAAGGTGTTGGAGGAAGCTCACGGCTCTATTTGGCACGGTCTGACAAACGACACCTTTGAAATCTAGAGCTAATCCGATTGTATCTTACAATTCTTCAACAGAAAATATAAACTTTTAATTGTTAATTGGTAATACCCATATACATGAACATTAGTAACAATATCAATAATATTTTCAAAAGTGTTTGGTCTTAAATTCTATACAAAACCCATCACATTAAAACCAATCTATTATTGAGTATAATTACAATATTAATGCAAAAATAAATTTAAAACAAAAAATAGTTCGTGTAAACCTTGAACATTTGTTTATGATACACGATCAGATATAATAGACCTATGAACGACGGGAGACGGTAAAAGAAATAAATAAGTCAGTAATTTGTGAAATTGGTTATGTATCTCTGATATATTTTTATATTTCGTATAATTATAAAAATAAATAAATAAATAAGAAATAAATTTTCGTAATTGGTGTTTTCATAAGTCACATTTTGCTACTGTTATCATGAACAAGCTTAATTTTTACTCAAATTTTCTTTTCGAATTATCGGTATTGTTTCGTTTTTACTGGAACTCTATATAATACTCTAAAAAATAAAAAGGTGATAACTTACGTGTAAATATGTAATGATATCAAACTGCATGCTGCAGCAAATTAAAATAGAGGTACAAGAACAGATCATTCTTTCTCTCATTATTTCTAAGTTTTCAAATTTCGACAATTTCCCTACGTGTTTCTTCTCTTCTCCGTGAAAAAAATTACAAAATTTGCAATTTTTCAGTTTTTTTACAATAGTTTAGGTCTAAAGTAATAATAGCTGTCTTTAATTTTCTAGTTTTGAAATGTAAAGTGTTTAGATATTTCGAAAATATGGAGGGTTTGCCGAAAATGGGACAGGAACATTATTTTTTATTGTCCTTGATGCAGATGAAGAAACAAAAATTTTAAAAAATTGAAGCTGTTTTTGAGGAAAAAAAGGGTTAAAAAATAAAGAGTACCTAAATTGACGGTAAAATTACACAATAACCACTGCTTTCGAAAAAAAGTATCATGACCTTATTTCAAGATGACTTTAAAGAATAGATTTCATTAAGAAAGTATCTATATCTTCAATGTTGTAGTTGTAGGGATACGTCAGAAAAATTGGAATTTAAAAAAAAATCTCACCTCATTCTCTGAAGCGCCTTTTACGCTCTCCGAAGTACAAAAAATAATTTAAAAAATGGTGTCATTTTTGATAAAGTTTTTAAAGTATTTGTGAAGCTTCGTGATAAGTACCCTCCAAAATCAACATATTCATTTGTAACTCCTGAAAAGTCTAGAGATCGTTTTGATCGATTGGGAAATATCAGTTTTTGAGAACATCAGCCGGGCGGTTTTCAGACGAAAAAACAGTCCAAGGAACAGACAGAGGTTTTGCCGTCAATCGATTTTTCGCATTTGTGGATTTTAACTTCAGCTTGTGCTAAAGAAAGGAATTTAGTACACGTAGCAAAATAATTAATTCACTTTCTCGTTACCAGAATCCAACAGTAAAAGTTTTCCTGTCGAAAATGTTCCATTTTTCGGGATACGAATAAGAATACTTGTGTCTTGTTTCTCTCAGGATGAGAAAAAAATTAAAGAAAAATTAAACAAGAGTGCTATATTGGCATTTTCGTCCTAGTAGATAAATATTTCCCCAATAAATGTGAAATACTGACTTTGTTGATATTGAAACGAAGAACGTTTCTGCATAGTAACAATCAAAATTGATTACTAATTCTAATTAAAAAAGAAGCACTAAATCGATAGTGCGTGTAACGCCGCCGCCGCCGCCGCTGCCAACCAACGTCAAATCGGGGGGTAGACGGGCGAGGCGATGTGACGGTTGGCAGATCGCAGAGAGGCCGCGAGCGCAACACGGACGGGCTGTGCTGCCTCAAGCAAGTTTATAGTGATATTTACCAAGAGTTGTGGAATTGATTGTTAGCCATTAAGTGGAGATTGAGAGTGATCAAAAAATTTGTAATCAGATGATTAGGAGGAAATTGGAAGTGCGCGCACCAGAAACGGGATCAGTGCAAAACATTTAATTACGGTGGAGTTTTTAGTGGCCGACAGACCACGCGTTTCCATTTCCGCCGGGTGTGATGCAGCAGCGGCCGCACCGTGCCAAAACCATTCGATGCAGATGAGAAGAACTGCCTGAGATCGGAACTGCCGACGGAGCAATTGCGCGTTGGCAAGTTAGTATATGTGACATTGCTTGCACTGCGCTGGCTGGTGTGGACCCGCGAGCTCGTTGGCCATTGCATCGGGGGCTAGCGCGAGTCGAACCGCGAGCGAGAGCGATTTCCCGACAAACTTCAGGGGGACCGAAGTTTGCCGAACACCCGCCGCCCGTTGCCACGGCGCCCCCCGCTCGCCTCCATCCAGCCGGTGACATCAAAAGCCTCAAGTAGCAGTTTATCCGTGCCAAAGTCATTAAAGGCCTTTGCGCACTGCGTCATTGTAAAGAATTTTTGACATAGTGTTTCAATCATAAACCTTTAATTGCAACAAAGAGTTTTCTTCGACCATTTCTTCCCAATGCAGTGTCAAACCCCTGGAAGCCCATTCGCGAGAATGTACCCGTCCTTTATATCATTCTATTAGTCGTGAGAGTACCGTTTCCCGGTACGTCACAATATATTTAATTCATTTTTCGCCTCAAACAGTCGCAAAGAGTCGCTCTTCCGCTCACGAAGCGACAAAAACGCCGCCCGTGGCGATTTTTGAACTAAAACAGTTAACTGGGAAGAAAAGGCAGGAACACACCCAAAATAATTTTATCTCTTGAGCAATGCGTAATTAATTTATTTTATTTAATAGGTAATTATTACAAACAAAATTAGATTACTTGTTTCCTATGTGGCTAGCCGAAGGCCTTTAAGCCATTACAATAGGCCTACATCCTTTCGCGTTCTAATGCTTTCGAATTCTGGTATTCACCCCCAAATGGTCTCTCCATCGCATCAAAAGCCGCGGAAAAGACACCATAACGGTACGGCTCATTGAAAAAATCCCCTGAAGGGTAAAAAACCTGCCGTCAGAAGCGAGTACATTCTAATCTATCCGACATTTATTTAGCTATTTTATTTTCTGTGCGCGGGCGTCCCGCCGGTCTCCTTCCAGTGCTTGGCCCCTCAGACCTGAAATCAAAAGCGGCCGCCACAGAAGATCGTCCGCACCAAACGCCTCTGCCCTTACATTTTCGATCCCCCCTTCCCTTCACCCTAATGTGTTATTTACTATGCCAGTTTTTATTTTATTTATTGTATTGACCCAGCCTTATTTAACCAATTGAACTAGTCTTCACTCCAGACGTCAAGCCGAGCGGAACGTGTTTGCTACCTGCTGCAGATCGGGTCTCGACAGAACAGTGTGCCGGGCGGCTATCGCGCTCGCATGGGTGAGGGGCTACTGCGGCGCGGTGCGGTGCCCGGGGGACAGTGCGTAATAATTAAATGCATAGGCCTCCAACATTTCCAGCCTTAAATATCTGCGCCCTGTTTAATTTTGCAATTTTTCGTACTCACAAGCGGATGAAAGTTAAAATGAAATTTGACTTATTACGAATTTTTATAAGCATGCCCAAGAAGCTTATTTCCTGATGCGCGCATTTACTTTGGAATATTTCGTCGAAAATATCCGTGGAAACCGAGTCTAAAAGACGCTGCTCTAACGTCTACCTTTTCGTTCTGCGGTTTATGAAAAATAAAGAATCTCCTGTACAAGAACAGATTGGCAAGCGATTCTAAGCGTAGAGAATCCATAAATGGAGCGGAGGGCAATCCGTTTAGGACAGGGAGAAGGGAGTGTGATCTCTTTCCTGCGCGACACGGCACGATCTTTGCTATGTGGAGGTGTAGCGCTTTCACGAGATTCGTTCATCAGCGATTTCGCCCTCCACTCTCCTTTCCGCAGTTTAGAGAAATGAAATGAAAGAGAAATATCTGTTCACCTTATGAAATGCAGATACGTGTGGCTTATGGAAGTGCAGTATATCGCTAAGTACTTAATTTGTTTTACTCTCGTTTGTTTATTGTCGTCATCTATTTTAAAGTTTTAATTTTCTCATAGGTTATATTATATAAAATGTAAGACGTTCAGTGAAATTGGACTCCTATTATGTGAAATCGGATTCCCAGAAAACTATTGCAATAATTTAATTGCTGCTAGAAACTAAAAGACTAATAGTTAAAAATGCATCATCAAAACTTTCAAATAAATGTATCACTTCTAAGTAAAATTATTATCGTATTTGAACTCAGTATTGTTGCCTCTAAAATGTCTCGGGCCATTATTGGTGTACAAAATGTTATCAATGTCTTTTTCTCTTCGTTTATTATCACGTGATTGAAATTGTGGCAACAAAAATTATAACATTTATATTTTTAAGATTATATTATGTAGTATATTTTGCGAAAGAACTTGCTCTTATAAGGATGTGGGATGCAGTGTGATACCTAGCGTGTGAACATTGTAAACGCAACCCTCAGGTCACTTCTGTAATGCGGATTGCATATTCTCCTCAACAACTTTCACTCTTGCTTGTTCTCTTTCTTCCCTATTTCCATACTGATGTTATATATTTAAATATTCTCTTACGTCTTCTGCAAATTCAAAATAATTTTTTGATATGATTTTCGCAAAATTGATGAGTATCATTTTTTTATCAAAATTCCTAGATAGTAAACACTTGCACAACAATGCCATTTTGCCACGCGGAGAAAATGAATATAACGTTAATGGTGGACGCCACAACAAATTACAAAATATTTGCAAGAAGATTTGATGTTCATATGTCTTCAAATAAATGTAACAAACTTGTAAGGCTAGAAAAGAGATCGTAAATTATTACTTTTTCCAATAAACAGACAGGGGTAAATTTCATATGTTTCAGAAAGAGTGCCGGAATACTTACATCACAATTATCTGTGGCAATGGTTTAGAATAATTTTGTAATATGAATGCAAACATGCATTAAACACTGAAAGACAAAACTGTCACTTTGGTTTAGGAAAGCTTCTTCTAAAATAGCCCTAAACGATGAACGAGTAAATCCGTAAGTAACTAAAAATCGAACAAAAACTACTACGAACGCACTGCTACCTATTCACGTTTACTCTACGAAGAGACGTCAGTGACCGGAAGGAGAGCCACTCCGAGCAGAAAAGCACCGCGCAGTGTTGCCAACCGACGCGGCGTCGGGGGAAAGCGGCGTGTTGGCGTGTGAGGTCAGGCATGTCTCGCCGTGCCGCACGCTTCGCGACGCGACCTCCCACCGGCACACAATCCTTGGCAACGCGCGACTCCGCAAACTATTCAACAGACACAATATCTCTCCACGTAGAAGCGCGCAACATCAAAGCGCGAATCCGCGGGGGATTTTGTCCCTGAGGTCGTCGCTCTTACGTGCGTCATTCAATCCCCGTTTCCTCGCATGAAGCAGCAACGCTGTATTATTACTCTAACTGATAGTCACATTCCATCACTGTTTTACTTCATTTGCCATGCCATCTTTCAGCAGCATAGCTCTGAAGACGGCCAGAGCAAGATGTACGAAACGTCAGTACAATTGATCGAGACGCGACTCATCCCGGAGGCCAAGAATGCATCTTTTGTGCTTAATTCTTCTGTTACCGTAAAATAATTTGGTCGGGTAATACAAGGGAATCGACCTCGTGTATCACCCTAAAAGCGTTGCATTCGAACGAAAAATTGTTCTTTGATTTGGTTGGTAGCACATCAAAGTTGTAAAAAATGTTTCTGGTGCCCCACATTTTTACATCAACGCAGCCTCGCGACTTAAGTTCAATCGGTTTCTATCATCCAAGCAATTTTGATCCTTTGTATTTAGTACCGCTGAAAATCCTTTTGCACTCTCTTCTATTCACATGACACGCCTTTCACGAAAGCAATCCCAGTCCCTCGATGTAGTTACAGATATTCGTCGTTGAGGAATGAGTTAAAATAGGGCTCGCACAGGTTCAAAGGCAAAGTGTAACTAGTACTGAAGTGCTCTTGAATACCCTGAAGACTCCGGTGAATCTTGCCCGAGTACGTCAAGAGCCGTGTAAGTAACTGCAACTGTTGTGGTCGTCGGAAAACTGAGGCTTGGTTCATGTTGATGCTGCAAATTAATGCTTAGATGATTCTGAGAGCATTAGCAGAAACTGTGACGAGTCGTTTTATGCATCACCTTCTGTGTTCTCATCTGACGAGAGAATTCCGCAAAAAGCGACACATAATTGACAAAGATTATTAGTTTGCCGTAAGAATCAATGAGTATGGAAGAGATTTTCATGGTTACCTCTGGACGAAAATAAACGCTCTCCTTACTAACTTCACGTCATTCATGCTTTCTGCTCCTTCGCTCCGCGTCTCAAAACGCTGGTTCAAAGAAATTACATGTTAATTGCTTGCTGCCAACCTACCACCGACTTTCAATGATCTCAATACGCGTATTACTTAGCATCTCTGCACGATCGCTACGAAAATGCCGTCACGCGATTGTGCCTCTTTAATATTTTGCTCGGATTTTATTACATCTATGGTTCAATTAATAACAATAATTAATAATTAATAATAATAATAACAATAACATAATAATAATAATATTATATATTATCCATACTTGAGGATAACGGAGTCTTGTGGCGAGCATTACGTGTTCTATCAAGAGAATCTAGTATTCTTGGTTTGCCTGATATTTTCTTTTGTCACACAGTTGTCAAAACAGATTATATAATTGTGTACTCAACATATTTGAAAAACATTTTATTACTCCTGTAAATAAAAAATCATCAATCATGTTATATGGTTAAGTTGCTTCAAATGATCTGAGGTGTATCCAACTGCGGTTTTCGCCACCACACATGTTATATAGAAAAAATGCTATGTTACGCGGAGTACAACGCGTGTCCGCTGGTGTGGCTATTCCACGCGACCCACTCGAGAGTTGACGTTGCTATATTCAAATTATCACCTCTTGTTTCAATATACATTTATTAATGTGCAATAATCAAACTACCTTATTTTGAGTATGACATTAACGATTTATTCTTTCGTTTTATTTTATTTTTCATTTTTACTTCGCATCGTCTAACAATTAATTTATCTTTCCTAAAAAAGTGAATGATAGATTCAGTTCAGATAGTTGTTTCGTTGATAGAGAGCAGTAAATTAAACGTGAAACTACGACTAGACGTAACCTTCGACTTCTTTCCACCACTAAAATAAATTGTTCTGACGATATCACTGCGATCACGACGAAAGCAGAACATTGAAACGATATTTTAATATAATTGTCGATGGCACCTTTTGTCACTACAAAAAACAACATACTTGTACAATCGTATCCTTTACTTACATAGACTTACATACACACAAACATGCACTACACTACCACAAATGCTGGGAGACCGGTTGGCAGCTTAGAACTTGTCCTTCCTTCACTGATGCCTCAATGGTGGGAGAGACCTGGACGAGGAAAGCCCTGCAAACAGACATGTAGGTCGTCCCCGGATCTCACCATCTAACTAGGGAAGAACACCACCACATCCACAGCAAAGGTATTCACTAAACGTACCGGATGAATGATCTTATCAGTTGACCCGCTCGGGAACGGCAAATTTTAGATTTAGATTTATCAATAATTCTGCAATTAAGTGTGAGATCTTGGTGGCAGAATACACTCACTTAACATTACAGAACTTAACAACTATACAAACTCTACAAAAGTTACAAAATCACATGAACATTTCACCGTGCAATCTTTCATAGAACTCCACTTCACCAAACTTCATTTCACCACACTTGACCGCACTGCGATACAGCGAGCTGTAATGTCTTTCTTACTCACTCGTTTCTCTCAGTTGCACAACGTCACTGCACTGCACATAATAATAATAATAATAATAATAATAATAATAATAATAATAATAATAATAATAATAATAATACTTAATTACAAGGCAGGTAATTACACTGAATTTTATTAAATATATTTATAACATATCCCCATTCAAGAAACTAATTTATTTTTAAATTTGCTCAGGTTTGAGGAAAGGGGTCGAAGATTGTCACAGGCAAACTGTCAATCAACCAATTTAAATAAATAAAATAGTGCTTAGTTAATTGAACTCACAATACACAGATGTCGACAAGTAATTATTTACGGCCCAGTGAATGTCGCAGCGCAATAAAACCTCTTCATCCCTTTCCTGCACCAATTTGCCCATCTCAATCGGCCCCCGCCCCCGATCCCCCTCGCGGTCGGCCGGCCGCGTCGCCACCGTCGCCGGTCGCGAGAGACTGCCTCGTAAACTCCGAGGAGAATATGCCGGCTTTCAACAACTGTTTTACACCTTCCGTTTGATGGAATTGGAAAATACCTTCGCGTAAAACAGTTTACGTTTCGAGGTCAGTTGAAAGAAGAACATCAAAAAGTGGCCTTAATAACGGGGTTAATATTTCAGCTCACCGCCGATTTGCTGCGAGTCTTTCTTGGATTATGGCGTCTATTCGTTAGCACTCGAGCAATCCATGGCCGTACGGGAAGGTAATTATGAATGGAGGTTCTTCGAAGAAAATTAATCTTCTGCCTACTTTTAGTAATTAATTTTTTTAAGTTCATCATGCGATTTGAATATTGCTTCTTTTTACTGGGCAAGACGAAGCCATTACTGATTAGTTATGAAAAGAAACATTATTTATATATAGTATAGTATTAGCAATTAATAATTGCTTTTTGTATCAACATGCATTTGAAGAACAGTACGTTTTTTAATGTTTTGCCAGCTGGTCCTCTGCGCACATTCCGCACTGTGTAAATAATTGCATTAAAATTGAACTAGCGGTGATACAAAATGGTTTAGACTTTCCCGTATTAGTTTTCTATTTCCGTTTGTCTCAGTTAGCTATTCGAACTTGCCACATATTCTTGCCTGCTGCCATCTATCGCCGCCCAAACTGCATTTTTTGACATTTTCTTAATTTTTCGGTTTCCTAATTGTAAAACGGAAATATTATTTTAAGATACCTAGATATATTCATACTGATTCCTTATTCATATTCACTTCTTTCCAATTTATTTATACTTTATTGTCTGTATAATATTTACATTTTACTCCTTAATTTCAACTCGGCTGGCATCTTTTTTCTCTCCAAACATCTCTGCGTCACTTCCCTTTTCTGAAATACCGTTCTATGTGTATTTCCAAGAACGCAGGAACCCTTCTCTTACCTTAGACGCACATTCAGAGAGCCTGAAAACACCCTACCTCTCTGCCTTTGATGTGATTGTTTACGGATTCCTCGGAGAGAGATTTCGATGCAAATCAAGGATTCCTTGAAAGGTATTATTTTGCCTGACAGAACACAAGCGTTGGATTATTGTAAAAGTTTTTCTTTTCCGACTGTTAAGAGTACCCTAACTGAATACTTAGACGCTGTTTTCATTTAAAACCTACAAAGTCAAATTACACCACTTACAGATATTAAGATATATCAGATTTTTGTGCTTTGTAATCTCTACCAGTAAATACGATTAACAATATGAGCACTTATATCAATATTGACTAGTTTAATTACGATAGGGTATTCACAGCTTGAAAGCAGAGCATTGCCTATCAAGAAGGGTTATTTTAGAAAAGATAATAGGAAAAAAACAGTAAAAGTGATGTTGGTAATTTTTAATTTATTATACATCAAAGAAATAAAGAGCCTTAATCGCAGATACCGGAACCTAAATTATCTGTAGAAAATGGCTTTACCTTTTCTTGGGATGACCAAAATCGTAAATTTTAAAGATATAAAATCTGTATTATTAAAATTAATTTGTCTTTTGTTTTAAAATAGCTGTCCTCTAATCATCATATATAGAAATATTTGCATGATAAAAAGACCCCTACATTTTTAAATGTGTTAAATGTGTCTGTCACGGCTAATCTCGGAAACTGGTAAACGAATTGCAAATAAACTGTTAAGAATGGTAAATAAAAGATGTCTGGTATCAACACTTTATTGTGCTAATGATCGGTTCGATCGCGTTGTGATCATTCTCAGATCTTGCAGCTTCAGGGCCGAAAACAAAATTTACCACACTTAAATATTAGAAGGTATCTACCTCATCTGCACTCTAATTAAATAAACTTTTACTGCACAGTATAGTCGTGACTTGAAGTATTGTTGTTTCAGCTCTTTAATTTTTTGCAAATAAATATTGAAGAAACTACACTTAAAATCTAATTACACACAACACTACACGCATTATAATTAGTTTTGAGAAGGGCAGATTATCTGACAAATTAGCAACATGTCATATCACTTTGAATATTTGCTATAGTTTTCGGAGAAATATATAAATACATGAATACCTACCTGAAATTATGCCCCCTATTTTTGAAACACCTGTATCGACATATTTTTTCTTTTATCTCCCGTAAACCTACGCAGAACGTCCTTTTCTTTGACTGTTCTTATTTCCTGGTTCAGATTTCTATAAATACTCAACATGCATAGCCTTTTCAAGCCATTCCTCAGTCATTCTTGAACGTACCCAAGTTTTCACTCTCCATAAAACACTAAAAGAAAGAACACTCAATGAAACTCGTAGCATGTGGTTGGCTCAGAGATTCAGATTATGCTTTGTTAATGGAGAAAATTTCCTTGCTCCTTCAATTTTCGTGACTTTCATATAAATGCGTGAAAACGGTATAAGTGATATTTTCTAAATTCGGAGAAATCTCTTTATTTAAGTCAATATCACGGTAATGTCGTGGTGCTTTGTTTCATCATTAAAAGCTCGACATCGCAAAGAAAATAAATTGCCACTGAAATATAACCCACAATAAACACGTTTTTTTTCTGAATTTTGAAAATAATACTTATAACGTTCTGGTTTTCATACATTCACATTGTCTTTTTTTTCTATCCAAACGTCGTACAAAAGTACTATCTAACTACCAAATTTTTCCATATTATAAAAGTCACAGGAGTATGATTGTTGTTTAACCTCTTGTACTGACACCTCGAGGATAACACAATATACAATAATAGTAAAGAAAATGTGATTACATTGTAACGCAAAAATCTTCCCTGCAGTTATGATACACTGAATGTATGAACGAATCTAGATAACAATTTTTAACGATACATTCTAAAACTCGTCTTTGATAACGCTGAATTGTGAGATATGGAATACAATCCCAATGTTTTGCGTTACACTGTGGCCGAAGGCAAAATATCCGGGCGTACATCATTTGATGCTTTAAAATGACCTTTCGTAGCAGTCACTATTCTTTTTTATGTGCTTTCCCCTGTCTAGCATGTTTAGATGTAGTGCTTGCAATGTATTTGGTACCGGTACTAGCAAAGCCGAATACTTCTAATACTACTATTAAACTTGATGCCCGGAAGAAATTAAGGTGTTGGTCGCCAGAATGTAGTTGAAACTGTTTTATAGTAGCTCAATTACCTTACATTGAAAACGTTTCAAGCCCATGAACTACACTTAAAAATCTATCTAAATATTGCAATGGGTTTCTACTTATGATACCAACGTGTTTCACATAAATGTGGCATGTACTTTGTCTTTCAAGAGAGTCACAACATAAGTTAATCACATTTTCTACAGTAGCAATCGTGTTTTAGGTAGTTGGTGCACTGTATAAAATTTGTAACGATTTAAACTTTAAACCAATTACAACCAAGTTTAATTTTTGAGTAATGAAAAACTAGTACTTTTTTGTTTTCATCTCGCAATAAGTTCTGAACGCCTTTTTTATGTCCTGACATAGTTGATCATTCATCATAACCCTGTTCGGCGCACTAATTTCAATCGAAACCTTCATATTTTAGAAAATTTTCTAATTCGTAGGCAACAGTTTCATCAGTAAATGCAATTCAACAAATTACAGGAACTCTTTAAAAATGGATGCCTGCTTTCAATCGGAAAAAACAATATCAGTGGATAACTGCTACTTTCTGCAAAATTACTTCCTTTAGCACCTGAGACTAGAATTGTGTGTATCATTGTTCTTTGAACTTTGTGGCTACCAATCGGTATTAGAGTTGACTTCAAAAGCACGTTTTTATCCATGTTTGTGAAAAACAAGAACTTTGAATTATATTACTTAAAACACCACACAATTTTGAGACAACGCAAACAAAAGGCAAATACTTTTTTCTCAATACTAAGTTCATGTCTTTTTTGGTTTAATATACAAACTAAGTTTAATGTTGATAAAAATATTTTTAATCAATAAAATGAAAATAACACTCCCGAACATTAGACTTCTTGTTGCTTGTTAAGGAAATACGTTTTGTTTCAACTACAAGTGTAATAAAGAAACAAGGATCATTGCAAGAGCATTCCAATCAAAGAAGTTTAAAGTAGTTTTAGTAATTCTAACTACAAATGTAGCATTACAATTGAGAAGTATTAATGCGTATAATTGTTATGAGATCACCAAATATTACATTCCCACTTGATGTCAGTTCATTGTCAAAATCTCAAAAGCCATTGCTGCGGGCCATTGTTAGGAACCACCGCCATCACCGGAGCTACCTCACCAAGATGATCTGGTGGGAGGTCGGGCACCTAACGGGCGTGTGGCCGTATGTTGCTGCCTTGTCACTTCCCAGCGCCTTGTCCTAGGGAAGAAGGAATGACTTCAGAGAAGGTACGACGTAACGAACTCAGCGAGTTCTCTCCTCTAACAAGTGGGGGCGGTTTTATGTAAGGCAAATTGCTGATTACAACCATTTGGTATTTTAACATTTATAGATGATTGTAAATGACTTATAGTGTAGTGTAGTGGCTCATGTGTTCATTATTATCTTTGAAAATATTGCGCCTGTGGCTACTTGTTTTAAGAAAAACTGTTTTGGTAATTTGTATCACATAATATTAATGCACTTTCAAAACACTGATTATTTTAGATATATCTGTCCAGAAATGTCCATTTATTATTTTTCATTGAACATATTACAGTTTCGTGGCTCTTTTATACATATAATTAATTAATCTTATATTTTAAACATTTAAAAAAAAGTTTTAGAAATAATGCCCAACTTTTTTCACTGTTGTCAAAAATCATTGTTGCAAATGTTTGTTGGGAATCATTAACATCACCCGAGCTACCTCTCCACGATGTTGTAATGGGAGAGCAGGTGCCCAACAATGACTGCCAATTTAAGAGCGTCTTCATCCAGGGCGGAAGACGTGGGAACAGGGTAGGAGTGACGCCAACTAGCCATGCGTGTCTTCTGGCAACAAGATTGCGGCATATTCGGAGGAGTGACTGCTGATAACGAGGTTCTGTAGCTATGTTATTATTCTTATTTAATAATTCCTTATACACTTATCATCAGAACACAAATTTAAGATAACAGAAATGTCTTGTGGGGAACTGCATTTTTTATGTGGGTCTTTTTATTAGATTTATTTATTAACGCGTCAACGACTGGTTTGTCTGCCATTATCCAAATGATTTCAATGCATTGCAATTGTTGTACAAACATTCCACAAAATACTACATTGTTTAGTTGAATTCAAAGGTGCAATTCCAACATTTAGTCGTAAAGTGAATTAATGATAGGAAAATGTAACAATTGAGTAATTTATTTTCAGAAAATGAAGTTTCAATTAGCGTTCTATGTTCATTTTAGAGTTTATTGTATATTTTAAGGAGCTTCTATTTTTAAAAGGAATATAACACCAATAAACGCACGACAAAACTTTTTTCTGGTCTGTTTTTTCACAGAACGGAATATCCCCGCCTTGTGCATTATTAACTACTCGCCTTTTACGTTGCCTCAATAATTCTTTTTTTGGTTTACAACTTATCAACAGTAATCAGTGCCATTCAACAACAATGGTAGTAAAACATAGGTAAATCATCTCTTCCAATAAGTAGTTCTTCTTACTTGATGTATCAACATAATCCAGGAATACATATCGACATACTTCTTATATAGACTATGTAAGTAGGTAAGGTTAGACAGAAAGTCTTCATCTGCATCCTTTCTCTAAAACGCGTGAAGATAATTCAAATATAAACACATTACCTTCGTAAATTCGATTTCGTGTCTTTACTGAACAGTCAGACAAAAGTCCTCCCTATCGAAAAAATTCGTAGGGGTAGTATCCTGCGTTTCCAGATATTTGTAAAATGATCTCTATCTAAATGAATATGCAAGAGCGGTCAGCTATTCATTATTACTGAGCATTCTACTCTGAGGCCTATTAATTCATACAACATCTCCAAAATTCCAAACCTATGCATCAAAATACAATTCGCAACATCAGAAAATTCTAAACTCGACTTCATGTCGGGATTAAAAAAAGCTGAGATGGAGTTTGCATTAGTGTCTGCTTAAGACTTTGTCCTAAATTGCTGCCAGTTATGTAACGTGACGTGTCGGTCCGGCATCGTTCAAAATGGCGCGGAAAATTTGTGGGAGTTATCGACTCTTGTGCGATTCGCATGCTGGCCAGCAGGCGGCGGAGTTCATGATGGCAGGGCAGGCGAGCTTCGTCTTCGACAGGTTGCTATTCTTTGGAATTCAGATTCTTCACCTTGTGTTCTTTTGCCAGTTCAGCTGCCGTCGTGAGTAGACGCAACGTTTAAAATGTGACACCTCAGTACACAGACACGCAGTTGTCAAGTGAATGGTGAGACAACGTCCAATTCAGATAGAATTAACTGCAGTGAACGGGCATAATCAGCAAGGTGAGGTGTTTTAATAAACTGTACATTACCTCTTATTAAAAAGGGTATTTAGTGTACTGACCTGTCAGTATAATAGATATTGCTTTTTATATCAAATATGAAACTGTTACCAAGTTAGTTTGTGATGATACAAACTAGACACGCATTCTGATTCGAGGTACGAGATATTACGAGTATCCTGTTAATATATTTTTGTTCGTAGCTGTACGGAAAGAAGCAATTAACATCTGTCATTTGTGAATCCTTAGACAAGCACATTAAGTGGACTATTCCACTCGTGAAATTTAAACCAAAAGAGTTTAACTATACATACAAATTGCTCCAATTAGGGGGTGTCTCAAAAAGTTTATCGCCTTTCTATTCGGTTCTTATCACTTCTTCCTACTTGTCAATCATAAACTGAGACTATCTGTCTTAGAAGGCGGTATACATCAATAGCAATGTCGATGTACAATTAACCTCGTAAGTAATAAAATATAACCTCTTTGATTTTAACATAGATTTCAGTTCTTTCCTTTATTGAAATTCTTTTCGATGTGATTTCATTCCTAAAATAGTCCATTTAAATACCACTCGTGTTTTGAAAATTCTCAGATAAATCCCGTCCTCGCTTCGCGAGTCGGTAATTTATCAACAATTACCAAAGTATTCGTGGTATTAGCTATAAACGTCACACTATAAAACAGTGAACATCGTTTCGTTATAACATTGATGAACATAATTTCCTAACGGCTATTTCAAGAGAACTGAAGAAATTATTGTGCAAACTATCTACGTTGAAACCAGTACTATGGTAACTCTTTCGAGAAAGACGAGTACATAATCGGGAGCTGGGTGACAGCTTTTGGAAAGTAGTTGACGTCCACGAGAATCGTATACGTCACAGGCCACGCGGTCACAAAGGTTTCTTGATGTGATTCCGGGTTCCGGCGCGGAGGCCTTGCTCGAAGGTCGTCGCGTGCAGTGCCGCCGAGAGAAAATACACGCTTATACAAAGTCTCTTGTAGAGGCAAATATGTATAGGCGTGATTCAGACGATCATTTATTTTTACAATATATTATCAACATCTCAAATTTTCAATGCGCACGGAAATGGAATAAAAACTATTCAAACTTCGTATCTGTAAGGGATATCTATGATTTCGTATAGATACCCACGAATTCAGATCAAGTACGAACACAATGAAACGGTTCGTATTTTGACTGAAATATTCAAATATTTGATTGTATTGTTCCGTCTATTTTCGTACTGCGCTCAACGGGTGAATTATATGTTTCGCGTATCACTTCGTACGACACAGCTGTAGTCATGCAACGAGGATGATGTGCCGTTTTAGTACATATAATTGCTGCTACTTCATGACTATTTTCCAAGCACTGACAACAGCATTTTTGCTACTGCAGACCACTAATTTATACCGGGTATCCCACGTGTTGTGGGCCATCTCACTTCTAAATGGTTGACGATATCGCAATGCAGTGTTCGCTCAATCATTAGGCAAGTAATGTGCTGTACAGAAATTGTTAGTAATATTTGTGGTTTGTAAGGTATTTAATTATACTTGATTTTTAAATAGAACTGTACATTTTTGTCGCTAGTAATAGATGCATCATAAAAGAGAAATTCAATGATGTATCATATGTTAGTAATTTAACAGATTTTTAGCATAAAACTAGTCATTTTGACTTGTGATTTTGAATTAAAATGAAAATTTTCCTAAGTATACTTTTGCGGAATGTGGCTTTTGCATTGCGGCACCACCGCTCGTAACAGCCTGTGTGTGTCTGTGCAGTCGTAACAGTCACCAAGGACTTCGCCAAAGACGATAGTTGCAAGGGCTTGTACAGGAATTATTGTCTGTTTAATTTAAAACCACATATCAAATAGTCTATTTTTATACTCAAATATCTATAAAGATACTAGCATATAATGGATCATTGAAATCCCCTTTTCATGTTCTATCCATTGCTGTTGAGAAAAAATGTATGGTTCCATCTATAAATGAAAGACCATTTAGTTTCTCGAAAACTGAAAGTGTTTCAAACAAAACCTTGGCGGCTTGTTACTTGCACCGCAATTCTGCGTTATTGATCAAAAATTTCATTTCGATATCGTGAACTGTTTAGACGTTATGGGGGGAGGTCAATAGTGGGTTGGACTCCTGTATTACTAAGAAGCGCGAAGAAAAAGAAAGAAAACTATGCTGCCTAGCGAGAGGTGCCCATATTTTGTAATTATCTAGTAATTCGGGGAATGTTCCAGAAAAATGGGACAGTTTCGATTTCAGAGAAAAATCGAAATTTTAATTAATACTTTTTTTGTTTATTTTTTTTATTTAATTATTGTATAATTTACTTTCCCAATTTGGAGAAGGTGGTTCTTTGATCGACTTATAATGAAATTACTTTACGATCCTTGTCAGGATATTCCTAGTATAAATGTAAAAAAGTGCAGTCACTCTAGTAAATTTAGAAATACTTGACTTCTTACCCTACAATTTGACAAAACCCAAGCTAAGAGCCGTTTTATGAAAAATAAAATGCAATAAAATGTTCGTTACTCGTGTTTCTATAGTGTATGTTCAAAATGGAAACCATCAAATGCCATACATTGTTCTTTTAAAGATTATTGAAAATGATTAAATATTACTCTACGGACGCAAAATATTAACTCGCGTAATTGAATAATATTTGTAGGTCCCTAACACCTGTTGGCGACAGTCGTTCATTCCGTCCATTGTCGTCATATTCGTCCATTTCGGTCTATCCATTCAATTTGGTTTGTGGTTGCCGAAAACAGTACATCACAATATCATTCAAACCAATTAGCTGGCTTTCTGAATATGCCTCTAGTGTGCACGTTATGAATGGAAACATGTTCATAAAAATAGTCAAATCTGTAGCAGTATTTAAGAACATATTGTCTAGCAATCACTAAAAATCAGAATTAATCCGCGACATATTTATTTATTAAAATACTACTTGTTCACATGATTCGCAAGCCTTTAATTTCATCAAACACAATTTTTTTCCCTGTGGGTTTTCTAGTAATTAAATTACCCTTCCATTTAGTAAAAAAAGCATTTTCCACATATCTTAGCCCTTTTTGAACAGGAGTATATATTTCAATATACTCACATAATGAGTAAATCAGCTTTATCTATCAGGAAGATAAAACTCCTCGCAATATATATTTTTAAAAGAAGCATTATATTCCAACAGCCTCAACTGTACCGTCATACATTTATTAGAAATCAAGAACGTTTGAGTTGCAATGAAATATCTACCATGCAAATATTCATTTAGCATCAATTTAAAGGTAATAATAAGTATTACTTTCAGTTTTTGATTGAATTTGTGCTTGATGCAGACTTACCTGCTGCCGTCTTCGCTCCATACTCCAGTCATTTCCTTCCGTTGCCGCGGCACTTTGTGATTGTCGTTTATACAAGATTTTGATAGTTCAAGATTTTTTACGTTTTTACCAAGATTTACAACATTTTAACTACTAGTTCCTGACATTTTTACAACACTGTTTTGTCAACTTTTCTACAATACTTGTATACTGTTTGATTCTTCAAGACATTTTATACGTTTCTTCTCTACAAAATGTTTTTGCGCCGTTTACCCAGTTATTTTTTACCCAATTTTACGAAGTTTATTTTGTTACGCAGTTTTCGCAGAGATTTTGATACGCCTATTTACCCAGAGGATTTTGATACTACGCCATATTATCCAGAGGATTTTGATACTACGCCATTTTACCCAGATGATTTTGATACCACACCATTTTACCAAGAGGATTTTGATACTACACCATTTTACCAAGAGGATTTTGATACTACGCCATTTTACCAAGAGGATTTTGATACTACGCCATTTTACCCAGTGGTTTTTGATACTACGCCATTTTACCAAGAGAATTTTGATACTACGCCATTATACCAAGAAGATTTTGATACTATGCCATTTTACCCAGATTTTTCTACAAGACCTACATATTTTTCTACGATGTCTCCCTTTTATGTTTAAGAGGTAAGTGATCTAATGAAATTCTTTAGTCATAACCTTCTTGTGTCACTAATTATTAACAATTAGTTCTGTATTGTATTCTTTTGCTGCCCTGAATCTTCCAAGTTAAATTTTTTGATTTGTATTATTTATATTCGCTTAGAAAAAAATATTTATATTCAATGGAAATTTCCTGTTAAGTGTATTCTATTATTGTGTGCATGGTATAGAGATATTTCATTGCTAATGTATTTGATTCTACATTACTGAATTTCCTCTCGTTTTGTTTATTGTAAATAGTTTAAATACATTAAACCCTATAGAAATGATTAATGAATTGCATATCAGTTACAATTTGTATACAAATGGCTGTTGGAATGTAGTCTTACCTTTATATACTTTGCATTTTATAATACTTCAACTTATTATTTTTATCACTTAAGTATAATTTTCGCGTTACAAAATGTTCATATTTTGTTAATTTACGCAAAAATTATTTTTTGTGCACAATTTCTCAATTTTAATTTTCTCGAACTTGCTTCGTAAGAAGAGAATGTACTGTGATCGTGCGCTGGAAAATCGGAGAATTTTCTGCAGAAAAAACCTCTTATTGCCAGGCCCTTCACGTATATATCTTCAGTTAAACTAACGATTTATGCCCGTGTTGTACGACTGTCACAAAGTCCGTATTACGTATAATAAGCTGAAGGAAATATGAATGTAAATATTGTTTCGCAGTGAAAATCGAAGGTATACGTCGGGAATTGCCTTTTACTCGGTCGACCTCGTGTCGTTTGAGTAAGATATTATCATGACACTTCTACGATAAATGCAAAATCTAAATTTGTGGAAAATTATAATAAAAGTGCGCAACTGACGTCTTGATGTGGTGGTTCGCTTTCCCCACGGAGGAAGACCGCTGGTGGGCGGGGAGACGGCGCGCGGGGTGCGGGCTTCCCATCAATCTCGGGCGAGCGGCCGCCGCCCCCGGGCGACCGAGCGGCCGATTCCGGGAGCATTAATATCAGTTACGGCGCCCTCGCGTCTAATGAAGGCGCCTGCGCCGCGTCCTGGTCGGTCACCGCCGCCGGCCGCAACCCTCCCGCCCCGTACATCCCTCACGGCCGCTCTATCAGCTTTGGATCGCTGCACCGCACCGCACCGCGCCGTGCTGTGTAACGTCCGCTTGGCTTCACTCCGCCTCCTGGCGATCCTCTTGCCCCCCTTCTCCCCACCTCCCCCGCCCTCACCCCTTATGCTGGACGCGCTCTGGCTTGCCTATCGCCCATCGCCCCTCTGCGGCCCTCCGCTTCGAACCCCTTCTCTCAGACACGCTCTTGCCTGCCTTGCGCAACACGCACCTCGCCTTACTGCAGCCCACTTCTCCGTTCTTAACCAAACCGAATTCCTTTACTTGGTTACGCTAGAGTATAAACTACTCGATTGATTTGGCATTCGGGGCCGTTAAGAGCTAAAGCCGTTAGTTGACGTAAGCGTAGTGCTTGTTTTTTGTCCTGGGAGGTTGCGGTGATGTTTCTCCGCTTGATGTCAAGATCCGGTGCCGACATACCTGTCGGATTGCGGGGTTAACTCTAAAAATCCGACTGGTCTTCCGGAAAGGGTGGAAGTGTAGGGCATGTCAGTAAGTGGCGTCAAGGCAAAGGAAGGGATAATCGCACGAGATCCGGCGCCCGTTTGATAGGGTATTGCTCCGGCAATTCGCAATTGGTATTGTTCGGAGAAACCACGGAAAACAAGCAATCAGATCAGCTGGCCGATATAATTCTCCGTTGACGCCCTAAGCCTACACAGCCAGTCCTTTCTCTGAGACATGATGTTGCCTGCCTTGCGCAATGCGTACATTACGCAATGCGTACATGCGTACATGCGTACATTGGTCCAGGCCTGCACAACGCCTGCTCCCGGAGGCGTTCGAGCCACGCGTCAGCCCGTGAGAGCTGCGAAAATGCGAGTAGGGAGATGGAGGCAACTTTGTGGGTAGGGGAGAAGTCGGATTTGGGTCGACCCACCCCGAAGATGGAATGCCTGCATGTGTAATAAAATGATCCATGCTGTGAAATGGTTCGCGCATTAATTGAAATGAGCAGATATATCTATCTACAAGGGCCATATTTCATTATTTGTTCTTCTGGCAATGCTACGTTTCGACATTTTTAATTTTTTTACTTTATGTTCATTGTCACTCATAAATAATATTTTTAAGCAGTAGCCTATTTTAACAATTTATTGTGCAATTTTAGGTAACAAACATTTACATTTTTTAAATTTTTTTCACCAGAAGTCTTATAATATTGAAATGATAGCAAAAAGGGGGAAATTAAGAGCCATCTCTCAGATAGTAGTCAATATTAAAAATGAAATATAGGCAATTCTGAGAAGGGTAATGTTAGGCATCACGTACGTATTTTTGTGATAATATATCAATGAGCCCTCATTATGAATATGAATAAGAGGTACGGATGAGCAAACCCCTTTTACAATATTTTGCGGTCAATCATGAGATTAATATGAGTCTTGAAACTGCAGGTTATGATACTTGAACTGCATGTAATCACAATTGCTCTTTCAATTTACACGCTACGTTTTGAATTGCGCATTTTCATTGGCGGTCCTTACTCCTAGAATGAGTCTCATCCCCATCAATCCACGCGGCCCGGCTTTGCCTAGAAGTTGCTCGCGCGCGGCTCCCGAGGTCAGTTCAAGTGCAAAATGTTGTGCAGAATTTTCCGCAGAACCCATTTATTCACCCCAACCGAACACTTTTACTTCAATACCTTGAGGGATTCTTTGTCCAACACATTTCTTTTCAGTACACTCTACCTGTCCTTTTCCAGCCGAAGCGAACTCCTTTTTTGTTCAACGCGTACATCGTCATACCGCCACCTGCCACTTCCCAGCCTAATAGAGCCCCATTCTTTCGGGTGTGCTTTTACCTCCCTTGCGCAACACGTACATTTTCTTACCATTTCTCCATTCTTAACTCAATCGAACTTTTTTACTTGAACATGCTAAAGTCTTTGTTGCTCAAGAGGTATTTCTTTCCATCATACGAGTAATCCACCTGCTCTTTCTCAGGCAAACCGAACCCCTCCATCTTACTCAATGTGCGCATTACATCACTGCGCCTCCAAAGCTGTTTCCCAGTCTGACCGAGCCGCTGATTTGGAATGTGCCATTGCCTACCCTGCGCACTGGGTCCATTGCTTTGTTGCACCCACCTGCTCATTCCCAGTCCATTCAAATCTTTTTTCTGGGATGTGCTTTTTCCGACTTACACAATACGTACATAGTTTTACTGCTTCAGTACACTCTGAGGAAGGTCTCAATACGCTGGCCGAAACGTTAGCCTCCATGTCAGCAACGCGGCTCGTCCCGGATAGCCTAGATGACACATACTCCGGCCGCGGAAACCTACGGACCCGCCTCCTCGCCCTTCGTCCGCCCCCTCGCCCTTCGTCCGCCCCCTCGCCCTTCGTCCGCCTCCTCGCCTTTCACTCTTCTTGTGTGGACGAGAGACAGCGCGTCGCGGAGATAACGAGCGTGTGAGGGGATGTTAACGGCGCGAACGGGCGCGCGGTTGTTCGGATGGACGTCCAGGGACTTCCGGTCCGCGGGGTCGAGCGCGAAGGCCGTTTTCGCCCCTCCATACGCCTCCTGCCACGAGCTGTAATGGGCGGGCGCCCGCTCGACACGCGGCACTCTAATGAAATTATGCTATCGCTTCCTGTTTCGGAAATTGATATTACATTAGATCCAAGCGATTGCTTTATAGTTCGGGCGATTATTTGTTTTATGTGTTCGAAAGTGATTGTACGACAGCACGATGTGTTAGACATTCCAACAAATGTGTTGCTCTGGAGAAGGTTGACATCCAATAAAATTATTTTCTTTCTGTTTTGTTTCAGAATAATGATAATCATTTCATCTGAAAATAATGAAAAATGTGGTAATAAATTCATACAATAGTATTAAATGATAATTCTTGAATAACTTACTTTTATATCAAACGTTTTGTGATATCTGACTTCCCGACACGATAAACTCTAGTTTTCGTTCTTGTCATAAAAACAAGCATGAACTTGAAACAATCCTCATAAAGGCCCAAAACTGTATCAGTGGGTGTTTTTCTCTTTTCAAACACTTCTCATATACGCAACGTTTCTCGCGTCATACAAATAATCCTGCGACCGTCGTCGCCTGCGCAATCGTTCGATTCGATCGAGGCCATCACGCGACAAGGAACCCTCCTGCGTTGTGGCGCGGGGCAGGCGATAACAACTCCATCTGCAGACCGGAGGCGGAAATCCACTCTGAGGTTTGGTGCGACCGCGGGGCGCAGTGGTTGCTGTCGGGTCAAAAGACACCCTCAGGGTGAAAGAGTTTGAAGTGCTTCTAAGGTCTAAATTCTATAATACGTAGAAGAGTTAAAATGTCCTTGATGTATATTTTATTTAATATTAGACCATGATAAAAGCACTACAACCGTATAATATTTAAAAAAATCTGTTATATAAAGACGGATAGAACGCACTGCAATTAATTTCTCACCAATAAATTATCTCAATAATAAAAAAAATGTATGATAAAAGATGTATAATCTCTCCCTGTTTGCATGTAAGTCCTATTGTAGATGAAAATACTTAAACAATCTGTATATTAAATTTTAACAACAGGTTCATGTAAGTTGTAGTGACGAAAACAATAGGACATTGAAATTGAAAAGATGACCAATATTCCTTTTTTGAAATTATTAACTTTACAATAAAATAGCCTACAAAAAGAGAAATGTTTAATTACTTATTTGAGGCACAAGATATATCAGAAAAAATCAAAATTTGTAACACAAAAACTGTTTTGTTATGAAGTTTCGTAAGTAGGAATGCTGCAAAAATTTGTAATATAGAACATTCAGAAAATTGAAAGTTTGCTTGTTCATATGTAGGAAGCCCACCTAAAACTCTCACAACTATTCAAAATATACTACATATTGTTAAACTAAATGTTTCTTATTATGATTAGAATACCAGCTCAGAAATCACTGGTAAAGCGTTACACCCGCTTCGGGTATCATTTCGACCCAACGCGCGCGCGGGGGCTGTGTGGGTGGAGGCGGCGGCGGCGAGTAGATGCGAGGGGTGGGAAGGGCAGGGCGCGATGGAGACGTTGCCAAACACGACCGCACACAAGCGACACAGCCGTAACAATCGCGCGCAACGTTACGACGGACGTTACGACGGACGTTACCCGGCGACATGTCGTTGGCCGCGGCGAGAATCACGCACGCCGACTTCGCGCGTCGCCGCCTCCACCTACAGCCTCGACGGACTGCGATGTTTTTCTGTTTGGTAAGAGGTAGAACGAGGAAAAAATCTTAATTGCTTTTAAAATAATAATTTAAAAAAATATGTTAACATATTTTTAAAAAATGCAATTTATTTATTCCAATTTTAAAGTTTTTGACATTCTGAGGGAAATTCTCCAGCACTGTTGCAGGCAATTCGTTCCAATTTTGGATTGTTCTGTTTGGTTAGAGGTATGAAGAGGAAAGAAACTGTTAATTGCTTTTAACAGTTTTCAAATAATATTTGCATACAATAGAAAAATTGCAAAATTGCTCCGGAAAATCGAAATATATTTATGGGAAATTGTGTAATGTGCAATATAGAGGAAATAAATATAAACAAAATGGTGAACCGAGGTGACTCGGGTTTCAGTCAACTCGAATAAGGTTAATTTTCGATTACACTGAGATATGGTCACTCATGCCGAGCCACGTACACTTCAAATAAGCATTCGATGCACGGGTGGGCGCCAAGTGGGCCACTTCTTGCCTAATGTGAAAAAGAAGAGTATACCGTTCACTTAAAACACCATTCCAATCAGCAAAGAAAAGACAAATTAACATTTTTAAAATTACAATGGATATATTAAATTGTGAGACTATATGCCTTCCAGAAACCGCATGCAAATAAAACATTAAAATGACAGTTACTATAGATAGATGATAGATGGATAGATAATATATCATTCCTGCAGGTAGATTTGGTGGCAGAACACTACAATTTACATATTACAATACAATGTAACCTTAATACAATAATAATAATAATAATACAATTAATGTTTTAATAAGCCTAACTTACGAGTAATTATTTAAGTTCAGGTTCACGAGTTATTAGTTACGAGTTATTAGTTCATAGTTAATTTACTTTTACATTTTTCGCTCACCTAGAGGAAAGGGTTCCAAGGTTATCGCAGGCAACTTATATTCTATTATTGTTCTCTTCGTAAAGGGAAATTTTCCAACATTTGTTCTCTGTCGTTTATCATAGATTTAATTACCGATTTCTTACCGTTTTCATCGATTTAATTCGTTTTCGCAATATATTTACATTTATATTAATCTAATTTGGTATAGCCCCTCTTGATATCTGTCTGTGGTAAGATTTTGTTTTGAAAACAAAACTAAAGTTGTCATTAAATGCGTTTGCTTTTCCCGATCATCTATTAATAACGTTTTTGGTATTTCTAACGATAGGAATTCCATCTTGATTTCCTTTTCATCTGCGAACATATTTGTAAAACTCTAACAAATTATTTTCCTCCCCGTCGAAAATTCTTTAAAAATTTCTCCTGTGCAAATTTATTTTCCTCCCTCTAATTCTTTCAAACGATTTCAAAAATGTATCCTAAGATTTTTCACTACGATGTCTAAAATTGACAGCATTTCACGTTTTTCTCTTCATACGTCGAATTTTCGCTTTGTAATATTTTGAATCTGAATTAAGTTTTACGTATTTGCATGGCACAAACGTTTGCAACGCATTATGTAGAATACTCTTGAACGCGTTTCAAATATTTTCCATGCCCTCGTCTATTCTCAGAAAACGGTCTAAATTGAAAAAAAGAGAATAAGAATTAAAATGGAAAAATTAAACTAATATTTCACAAATAATCTGGAAATTGGTGTTGCCTGTCTGAATATGAACTTTGTTTCGGCTGCGTGCGATTGCGACTTGGTTTCGTGTAAATAATTTACGTATTTTTTAAAAACAAAAGGAATTTGTGTCAAAACATTTTATGTCCTTGGTTTGATCCAAAGATTTCTCCGAGAAAATATAAATTTCCGCCAACAAAGACACACCATCTCAATATGAAGTTTTCAGAAAAGCGAATGAAAGCAAAAATGATCTCTTACTTTGCCGGATATTTCATTCAAATTATTGTGGTGTTTTCTTTTAAGAATTCATCCATATTTCTTATGAATCTGAAGTGGCAGCATAATTAAATAGTGAGTAATTAACACTGTAATAAAAGCAAGAGTATTAATTTTTTAGAAGATTGTCTTCAATATTAAATAACAATCCAATGTGCTATTTTTGTGCTTATGTAACGTCTGAAAACATTATTGAAAACAACCTTGCCTTTTCAATTCTTTTTAATACAGTTATCATAAAACGTGATAAATGAATCAAGAGGATTCTAAAGGTTTTCCATAATCTCATGCATAAACTCGGTGCATGCCATTCATAAGTCTTTACCATTCATTCTTCAAAGAGTAAGAAGATATATGAAAGCAAATCTGCAGATAGTCTTGGCAAGTCTATCTCTCGAAAAGGTATTAGGATTTGTGCTATAATTCAAGACAATCTTAATAAATCATATTTTTCCAACCCCCTCCATCGCTCTTTCAGAACGTCAACAGCCCACACGAAAACCATTTGAGAGCAAACGTAAATCCTATCAAGACTTTGAAGAGACAGTAAATACGTCGCCAACGCTTCAACACTCTTCTTACTGGAAACACACTACTCGCTGAGAACGCTGTCAAGCGGAACAATGCGAATCTTTCGGTTGGTCGTCGAGCGGTCGGCCCTTCCTCGATTTATCCGCCTGGTCGAAACCTCTTCTCGCCTCGTTGTAGCTCAAAACGAATGTACTGGCCAACCGTCAAGAGCCTGGGGTTTCCGCTTTTTTCCGCGTGGCCGCGCACAGGTGCGCCATCTCACCCTGGTTCCTTTGGCGGTGTCCCCGAGTCCATCTTTTGGCCCGTCATTCTGGGCAGCTAAGTAAGAGAAGAGGCCTTTTACGAAAGCGAATTCATCAAACGAAAGTGACATGATTCGATCATCCGAACCATGGTTGCATGAACTTATATTTTATTACTAATAATGTTCTTTGTAAACACCCGAGTATTCCCTGTAGCATAAAAGATGATTTGCACTTATCCGCTCACCTAAAAGAAACGGCAAATTTGGTTGCATTAAACATACATCAATATAGGTAATCTGATTCTATAAAAGGTTCTTTTAAAACTAAAACTATAAAGATTTGTGCGTTTTGTATCGATAATAACACTCTGATTTTTGTTACACGTGTGTACTTCATTACCGCATGGTACTTCATGATTTAATGCTTATAAAACGCGCAAAAAATATTTCACTTTTTACTGAAATAATGTTAAATAAGCATTATGAAAAGTCGCGATATCGGTCAGACGCGCTAAGCTATAAACCATTTTTTCCGTAAATCACAATATATGAGCGCCTTTATTTTCTTGTCACCTGACAATTCCGATTACAATTTATTGCGAACTTTTAAAGTCGCATAATGAAATATGTGAAAATATTTTGTTACAAGAAGTTTTCGGTTTTTTTGATACTAATGTTTACTTCCATCGTTATCCAAGAGTTGTTTAACTAATTAAAAAAATGTTTTGTCGGGAGTATGTGATTGGTTAGGAAAACAAATGAACCCATGTAGTTTCTAGTCCCTACTAGTGTTTCTGTCGAAAAATATTTTCGTGCGTTATTTTGTACTCATTTGCACAATTTCATAGCACAAGTTCGCATTTTGTAGGCTTATGAAACACACAGAGTTACGGGGGACTAGATTAACTAGCATATCAATCGGAATAAAAAATTTCTGAAAAAAATTAATGATTGTTCAATTAAATTGAAAGAAAATAACCGAGTAGCATTGAGGAAAACATTAACATTAATGTTATGTTCACCATCTTGCCCAGTTATATACGACTCTCGAGTTCATAAACTCTGCCGTAACTTCTGCACAATATCTCTCATCTCTCCACAGATGCACAAACGGTTTCTAGTTTACCCTTTCTCGCACCCTTGGAACCTCATATCGTGATCATCCGTTCTCTACATAACTTTCACCCACAGTGAGGTCGGGGGCCGAAAATCGTGGCAGAAATTAGAATAATGAATTTACACTAAGAAATATGTGGCCGTTAACGTTTCCTAGATTAGTATTTCATTTTCTAACTCATTTTAAGTTTTGAATTGCTAACATTGTAACTCTACAAGCTCTAGCTGTCGAGTGCATATTTTGCATTAAGTTATTAACCTCGTAGTTCTATAGCAATTTATAGGTCCAATTCTGTTTGCTATATTAATATTTCACTCTCTCTCTCACTCACTCACTCACTCACTCACTCACTCACTCACACTCACTCACACTCACTCACACTCACACTCACTCACTCACTCACTCACTCACTCACTCACTCACTCTCTCACTCTCTCACTCTCTCACTCTCTCACTCTCTCACTCTCTCACTCTCTCACTCTCTCTCTCTCTCTCTCTCTCACTCTCTCTCTCTCTCACTCTCTCTCTCTCTCTCACTACCTCTCACACACACATACTTCCGCTTACGTGAATTACTCTTCCGAATATGTCGGGAGATTGGGGTGATAACCGGTGGGGTGGAGCGCTGGTGAAGATACCTGGAGTGGGGAATCCTCGCAGAGCCGTTGGGTATGTCGGACATCATATTCCAGCGTGAATTGAACACTCCACATCCAGTAATATAACATGTACTGTAATTACAGGACTAATGACCATAGCAGTTATCTGACCGAATACACAAAATAATCAATCAAGATCATATATGAAATAAAAGCTCCTGTGAGGTTGTGTGGCTGTCATTACAATAACGGAATATCAATACTTCATTAATGGTGTTAAAGAATACAATACACATTTTCCATTATTTGCGTTTTTGACCATAGATTATAATATGTTAGGCTTATTTTTTGAATATATAATATAATAATGGATCGAATTTTACTTCTAAGTTCTGATTTTAAAAAGAAATGCATAAATATTCGAATGTAATTTCATTATCAAGAACTACTTTCAAACTTTCTTATTGAATACAAATTAACGACGATCTTGATTTCGATATTTTCAACATAGGTGCACCCGTTATTCACGCAATCGCCAAATGACGGCCCCGCGCAGATCGCATCTGCCCCACTGTGTCGCGCCCTGTAGGCGGACACGGAAGTCGTAGAAAGTCGCTCCCTCTACCGGTGGCGCGC